CTATATTTTTTTAAAATTGAGAAACTCAATTTTTAAAGTATAAATATTCAATATTTGTATATTTTGTATATATTTTCGTTTTTTTGTAATTTTGTAGAATTAATTTCTTGAAATATATTATTATATTTATAGAACTAGTAATTCACCCGTGCGATGCACGGAGATTAATTCTAAGTACAATTTTTTAATGACTAAAACACGCCCGTGAGATAAATCAAACACCTTTTAAAATAAAAAAAAGACGTTAATGCGATGCTTAAGGGTAATATAAAAAATGAAAAATATGTTTTAGATAAAATAATCGAACAAAAATTTTGAATAGTTGATCTATAATATGATATGATCTAATTTTTTTAAAAACAATAGCAATTCCTTTTGATTTAAGTAACGATATAAAAAAAATAATAAAAGAAAATATAAAATGCAAAAATTGTGATATAAAAAATAGGATATATTATCTGACCCAAATGGTACTACTACCTCATCCAATACACTTGGATCCTTAACAGAAACTTAATTATTAAAGTAGTGTTTCATAGTATATACTAATACTAATACTAATGCTAACGCTAATAATCATGCTAATACTACTAATACTAATACTAAAGTTAAAACTGATACTAATACTAACAATAATATTAACGCATTACTAACACTAATACTATTACCAATAATAATACTAACACATTACTAACACTACTACTAATACTAATACACATACTTATACACATACTAATACCAATACCAATATCAATACTAATACTAATATTAATACTAATGTTAACAATAATACTAACACTAATACTAACACTAATACGAATACTAATAATAATACTAATACTAATACTAATAGTAATACTAATAATAATAATATTAATACTAATACTAATACTAATAATAATAATTATTATTATTATACTAATGCAAATACTGATACATATAGTCATATTAACACATACACTAATGATATAAATAATAATTGTAATGATACTCATACCGCCACTCATGCAATGCACATGCATTAAAACTAACCTCACCATACATCAATGCACATGTATTAAATTGTAAAAATGATAGAATAACCTCAAATCGTGATTAAGGGATAAGAGTTTTATAGTTGAAGTGTACATGATAATTAAGTAAATTACATGTTGATAAGAAAATAATCATTTAATATACATCGATCGTTAAACTTTTAGCCAAACCAAAAATGATAACCAAATCCGACATTTCGAATGAATAAAGAAATTTGATAAGTGTCGATATTAGATTATTAGTTAATCATTAACAAATACAAATATGGAACAAATAAACACAATAATATATTTAAATAATAATTGACGAAAAATATAATATTTTTTGAAATCATGTCCAAAACTTTACGATAATTGATTATTCATAACCGAAAATTTTATATAATAATAGAGTTGGAAACTTATACAAAATTGCATGTTTACGATGCATCTTGCATCGCCAAAAGAGAAATTTGCATACGACATAAAAGGTTTAAATTACAATGCTTAATATAAGTATAAACATTTGAAATTACCAAAATCCAATTCTATTATTATAACCAATTAAAAACTAAAAATATGATACAAAATAAATTTTATAATATGGCATTTAATGTAATAGATTCTTTTAAATTGAATTAGTAGACAAACAACATAATGTATATACGAAAGACTTTTATTAATTGCTTGCAATAATATATCATCTTAAAACTATTGACTATCAATAATTTAGTGCGACAAATAGTTTCACATGTTTTTGTAACCTATTGAAAAGAAGGGAAGATAAGCCTAGTGGTAAAACTACCACAATTTCACTATAATAATTTTGCAGTAAAACTTCCCTTGGATCCCATTTCTCTCACTTATGCATTACCAAAAAAATAAAATAATATATCAAATTGTGTTAATAATGCAAATATGTAAATAAAAAAATAAAAAATCAAAACAAACTACAGAAAACTACATTATAAAATATTCATATCATAAGAAAATATTGAGTAATAAAATAAATAATTGTAAAGAAAAA